ATATATGTGCTAGGTATGTAGCTCAGTGAGAAGGCCTGGGTTCAATTCCCAGAACCAAAAGTAGTAGTAAAAGTGGTGGAATCAGCATTTGATGTGAGAGGGGCAGAATTTTGAGACTTAATGGCAGTGCATTTTACTGCAATCATTTTTTTATTGCAATAGCTTCTTAAAAAATTTAAACATTTACTATTATTTTGCTCACAGTTCACAACAGTCTTGAAGGTATGCCCAACACTCTAGTGGAACTGATTAACAAAAAACTGATACTCTATTATAAAGAGAAAAGCCTCTTCCCCCACCTTTGTGTCAATCTGCCAGCAAGCACATCCATAGTGTAGAGAAATCACTTGCTAAAAGATTAGGGTCTCCTATGCCCAACAGGCTTTGTAGTATGGAACAGAGATTTTAATCTAGATCTCTGATGACTAGTTTCAGTCGACTCAGCAGACCCCAAATTAGAGACAGACTATAAAACTTGAGGCAACTATTCTGGGAGAGATTTGTTCCTGAAACTTACTGAAGTTACCTTTGGGTAGCAATTACATATAGCATGTAGAGTAACAGTTGGATCCTGGGACTCACGAGATTTTCTACGGTAGCTTAGTTTTTAATTGGTCAAGTTGAGTAGGCTCATGAGTTCTACCAGACATTCTCAGGTGACTCCACCCCTTCACATGTTTTGTCAGGAATCTTTTATTAGATGAAAAACTAGCAACAATATTCATGTTAACCTGCAAATGGTAGAACAGGTGTCAATTTATCAATAACCTGGGCCAGGGATATAGCTCAGTACCATAAGCGCCTGCCTGGCAAGCACAAGGTTCAGAGTTCGATTCCCAGTACCAAAAAAAAAAAAAAAATTATCAATAACCTGGTGAATAAATGACATCATTTTTGGCAACTGTGCCAGTCATCAGAGGGTTATATACTGACTAGAATGCTGAACTCAGCAGTTTTAAGCATTTAATTTGTTCTCTCACCACCCCCCAAAGGAAGCCTCTTCCCCCATCTTTATCCTTTACTCTCACATTCACTTGGGATCTTCCATCCTACATAAACTCAAAATAACATGGTATCACAAGTAAAATTGTATTTATTTTTGCAATACTGGGGATTGAACACAGGGTAAATGCTAGACAAGTGTTCTACCACTGATGTATATCCCCAGCCCCACAAGAAATATTGTTTTTTTGAGGCTCTCAGTTTGCAATGCAGACTGGCCTCAAACTCGCAACAATTCTGCCTCAGTCTCCTGGTTTCTGCAAGATTTTATAACTACATTAGCTGGCAAAGATTCCTAAACAAAGAAACAGATTTATGACCATTTTTGTAAAAATAATGTTTAATAAAACACTGGCAATATAAATAAAAAAATTACAGTGAGAAATTAAAGAAGCTTATGGTATAAGTCAACCAATGTAGAAGGTGGTTGTTGAAGGAAATAAGCTTTGACTTTTTACATTTCCTAACCAAGGGATTTTAGAAATTCTGGCATTCAAACACAGGTAAAATCCAATTTTATGGATCAAAAATGTAAGTTTCATTTTTGAAGAAGTGTCTCTAAGCTTTATTTTTGTTAAAGGAACATTTGAGAAAATAATAAAATCTAGTAGTATACAGCTCTTTTATGGACTCAGTTTCATTTCCTATTCCCTGTTCACTTTGTGAGCCATGCATGCTATGGTAGAGCCACTTTTTAAAAGGGCTGTCCTATTTCTGTTACAGCCAGGCTTATATATTTTTAAATTAAGTTTATTGGTACATTTTAGGTATACATAATGATCACATTCATCATAGGGAATTTGTACCTATACATTACATAGCTTGATTTTTTTTTTTGTACCCCCATTCCCCTACCCTCCCTTCAACCTCTTACCCTCACTTACAAAAGCTTTGTTTCCATTTCTTGTTTTTTTTCCTTTTCCTTTCCTATCTCCCTCCCCACTTTCTAGTTCGCTTTCCCGTTTGAACATTTTCTTCCTATTTCACAGTATTATATATTTTGGTCCTTATTTACACTTTAGGTTCCTCACAACAGAGAAAGCAGTATTTACATGTGTCTAGTTTATTTTACTTAAAAGAGTATGGTCTCAAGGTGTATTCATCTCCCTACAAGTCTCGAGTTTATCCTTATTAGCTAGGCTTACATTTCATTTCTTCCCAGGTACAGGACTGATTCAAATATGTGCACACAAGTAAAGGGGGATGGGAGACGAAGTGGACATCAATAGCAAATTCGGCCAAGCCATCTTCCTTCTCTAAACACACTTTGAGCAGAAAGAGGTTTAAAAAGGATGTTCTTTTGGTTCAGAAGTTATGGGTGGCATGGAGACAAGGGAATATACTTGAACTTATACACTGAAGATATATTTTAGTTCCTTGGGGGCAGTATACCTTTATCTTCTTGAGATGCACAGTAAGATGTTCCTGGCTTTGCCTTGAATGAAATTATTTTGAAAGGTGTATTCCCCCTAGACATTCATACTTCAAATCAACCTACTTTTCCTTGAATTTAGGTGAGCTTATGTGAGCAAAGAAATTCATGAGTAGTACCCCGAAACAGTAATGATTCAGAAAGGTCTATCAAATAACAAGGGCAGGTAGAATTTACAGACAGAAAAAGGAAAGGACATAAGAAATTGGTATATTGATTACTGTTCAACATTTATATTATTTGGACATGTTTTGGCAGTTTGTAGCATGTGACTGGCTCAAAGTTCAGCTGCTCTGATTTGCTAGGACCCAACTATTTGCTATAGGATAGATGTTCCTTGACTTTCAATAGTCATATCCTGATAAACCCATTGGAAGTTGAAAATACCTCAAACCTAAAATGCGTTTAATACATTTAACCTACTGAACATCACAGCTTGGCCACACAAAAGGGAAATCAATGGCTCACTGCCTCTGCCCACCATCAGTGAGTACCTACTGCATGTAACTAGTCTGGGAAAAGATCAAAATTTAAAATTTGAAATATAGATGCTACTGAATGTGTTTTGCTTTGGCACCATCACGTTAAAAAACTGTCAAACCACTCTAATGCAGAGATCATCTGCATACACTCTTAAGTTAGTGTCTTTACATATTATGTTGTAGTCTGCCATGTAGGGAGGTAACTTTAGATTAAGTTTAACTTAATAATTACCCCCTTTCAATCAAGCTGCTGCTGCTTCTTTTTCTTGGCACTGGGAATCAAACTCAGGACCTCATGCTTGCCAGGCAGGCACTGCACCGCTGAGCTATAATCCCTGCCCTAAGCTTCTTACTTTTGGGAGAAACCTTGGCATTAACACCACTTTCTGACACTATCATAAAATGGACTTCTTTGGTCTCAGTATGGGATTCAAAAGATCAAGTTAGCTGAGCGATTCTTCATGCTTTCTTCAAGTTTTTAGTATTCTAACTGTAATAACATCATTTTGAGGTATAAACGATGACTTCTATTTTAGGCTTTACAATTATTCTTGCTGGCACTTTTCAGTTTGAAAAAAAATTCCATTGTAGTGGATCCTTCAATTGAAGAACAAACAGAAATTAATCGTAATAACCTTGCTTTTCCATTCATGTGATCTACCACATAACATGTATTTAGTAAGCTTAATTATTTGGAATGCTAATGCTATAACATTTGAGTGAAATTATATATACAAACTAGAAACTAGAAATATTAAAGGAAAAAACAATGTAAGTTACACTGGAATCACAAGATATTTTTCTACCACAAAAATGGAGTTTTATTTCAAGTAGCTATGTTGTCAGTAAATATATATAATGTAGAATTTGTAAATGAATAGAAACTGTTAATGTGGTTAAGAGTGCCTGAATAACTTTTCAAAATGGTAAATTTCCATCTTTAAATTTAATAACCGATACCCATTTACTTAGTTGATTATTTTTTCATAGTATTGACTTCAATTTTCACAAAAATACAGTCAGCAGGTTTCAGATTAATGTGGATTAACTGATACTGAAACTAATAAAGATTGCCCTTTACCTGTCAAAGGCTGATTTTCTAGACTTCAATGACTCCTAAAATAATACATCTAAAATTCTATTAGACATTGCTTAATTTATACTCCAATCAGGAAATACACAATCACATTAGGATAAAAGTGTACGCAATCTAATACAGATACAATTCATGAACACCTTCAGAAAATAATCCAAAGCATGTCAAAATGTTTAAATGTTTCATTGTTTAAAAAAAAAAACTGAACAAAATAATCAGCCAGGCTTCATATCAATTAGACAACTTTTACTAAATGAGAAAACTACATTTAAAATGTGCTTTAAAACAAAATGGAATTAGAAAAAAAAAGACATAGGCATTTTAAAGAACTTTTGCACTGTGCTGAAAATCAAATATTTCTTGCAGTAATACAATGCGCCAATCCATAAAATGTAAATTAACAGAATTCTCAAATTATTGTTTTCAAAGACAGTATTAAGGTCAAGAATTTCACAGCTATGGTAGCACATAGAAGGGCATTATAAATACGATGTCCATCCCTATGAAGCTTACAAATTTGACAATGCTCAATAAAAAATTTTAGAATTCCATCCAATAGTGTCATATCTAAGAATCACAAATCTGTGTCCTAGAAGTTCTCCTAAAATCTTTATGTTGACTTCTCTACTCCTTGCCATTTGTTAATGCTAACCTTGAGGGAGAAGAACCTTAAGGAGAGGGAGAGTGAGAGTGAGAGGGAGAGGGAGAGGGGAAAGAGAGACGGGGGCGGGGGGACAGAGAGCAGAAAAAGAAATGCAATAAACTCTTGATCATGTACAGAAATTATTGCTACTATCGTTCACTACAAAGCGTATCTATACAATATCATATGACTTTTGATAATGAAAAATCAGAATAAAAATCTTTAGTGACACAGCCTTACAACTGTATACAACATTCACATGGCAATATTAGATAGTGAAGCACCCAATACCCATGGTGACAAACTGTCTCACTGATCAGAATTCATTAAATATATCCTTCGTAGAGGGAGGAAAAAAAGTGTCAGCTTTCCAAGGCTTGTCAAAAAAGGATTCTCATGTTCTGTGGATCTAAAAACAAACAAACAACAACAAAAACCCAAAAAACAAAATCGATGCAGGTGAAGGTGTTACCAGAAAGTTAAGCATGCCAAAAGGTGTTTCGTGCGAATTAAAACCTAAAGCCAAGGTACCACATAATCACATTACCAACTAGTTGGGTAATACTATATAGCATTATCTTCAGTTAAATGAAATGCTACTGCACAATAGAGCATCAATAAGTTAAAAATTAGAGTGCACAAATCCAAATCAGTGGCAGTTTTTGTAAAAAGCAAAATGTTCACTATTAGCTGTAAAGTTTGCCCAGTCAAACTGATTAAAATCACTGGATTGGACTGTCTGCATATTTTTTAGAATTATCAATCTTGAGAATTCCTTTTTCCTGTAATGAGGCATAAGTTGTCTTAGTAAGATCGAAAAGGTACATAAGTAGATAAGCAAAGGAAAGTAACAGTTGGTGAATTGAATACCTTTAAAGCTCTTCCTATATTTCACTTTTAAAAATGTTCACGGAAAAAAATTAAAATAGTTGCCATTATTCTAGCAAAAACAAACAGAACAAAACAAGCTCAAAATAATTAAACAACCAAGCAACACTAAAACCACATTACACAGATGGATCATCATGCTTTCATCTGGTTTAACTATCACATCTAGTTTAACTGGGATGCTGTTCAACTTTAAAAATTTAGATATGCGAAGGTGTAACTTTAATGAATAATTTTGAATTTGGATTTAATTTTATTGAATATTATAACAGTATACTTATTACAATACAGTGTAGCACATCTTTCTATTAGAAAAAAATTTAAGATCCTTTACCCGTCTCCTTAAGTTAAAGGTGTGACATCATAAAGGGTGTCAAATGGCTGGATGGTTTTACAGTGCACACTTATATATTATGAAGTATGTCCTTAACAAATCTGATGGTTTCTTTGTAGGATTCCTTTCTTCACCTTTTCTTCGGTGGATTAGCTGTTCGAGGTGGAGTGACAGGGCGTCCAGAATTCAGTCCACCGTACTGGTACTTAGCTTTCTTTTCAGATGGTTTCAGTATCTTAAAGTAAATTTTTTGTAATAAACAAGGTTATTCTTTCAATAAACGGCATAAATTATAAAAGTGCGATAAAAAGGCAGATCAAACCAGCAAAAGTCCACAAATGTCACATTTAAAGAATGTGCAGCAAGGGCTGAGATGTAGTTCAGTGGCAGAGCACATACTTAGTATAAACAAGGCCAAAAGGTTCAATCTCCCAACAGTGACAAAAATGGTGCAAAATATTTGATAACTTATCATTCCAACAACCTTTCAAAAACTAGAGTACATCACCCCTATGAACTACTCAATCCTTAAATGTATTTTTTCCCCCCTAAATTAGTTGTATCTCTATCATGAGGAAAAGAAAAGTGGCTTAAGAGTCAAAAAACCTAGGATCTCATCTTAACTGTGGCATTTATTTAACTGGGTAAGTAATCTGTAAGTCATGAATTCTTCAGAAATTTTTTCTATGTATAAAGAGGAATTAAAAAGAAAAAACCTTCCCAAATAGCTTTATCCACGTATTTTCCATGCTATAAAGTCCATTTATTTACATACATATGAATGATCTATCAATCTACTATGGATCTATCAATCTACCATGTATCTGAGGGTAACTATCTTATTTCATCTATCCATCCAATCCATCCAACTATTTGAGGTAGGGTCTCGCCATGTAGTTCAGGGCTGGTCTTGAGCTCACTACATAGCTCAGGCTGGCCTCAGACTCAGTGATCCTCCCACCTCAGCCTCTCAAGTACTGGGATTTTAAATTTTAGAACGTTTTTGTCCACCCTCGAAAGAAACCTTGTTCTTAGTAGCAGTCACTCTCCATCTTTCCACAATTACTCCAAATATTAGCAGTTACCTATCTACTTTATGGCTCAGTAGGTCTGCCAATTCTGGACATTTCCTGTAACTGCCATCATATGACTTTGGTGACTGGCTTCTTCCACTTATGTTTGCAAAGCTCTCCCATGTTGTAGCACATATGAATACTTCATTCATTCTTTATTGCTAAAGTATACTCTACTATGAATATGCCACATTTTTAAAAAATTTAATCTTTCAGATGGGCTTTGGGGTTGTTTCTGCTTTTTGGTCATTATCAATAATGCCTCTATAAATCATTCAATCACAGTATTTTGTGTGGACCTATGTTTTCATTTCTCTAGGAGTGGCACTGCTGGATCACATAATTGTTTTGTTGAAGAGTTCAACTTTTCCAAAGCAGTTGTACCAATCTACATTTCTATCATCAATGTATAAAGTTTAGAGTTATATTCTATATCCTTGCAAACAGTTGTTATAGTGTGACTATTTTTAATGGCTGTAGACCTTTATATACATTATAAACAGATAATGCTATGATTTTGTAAGAAAAACGTATAGAAAGATATATGAAGTATTCTGTAAATGGGGGTCTGGACACAGCAGTACCAGTGCTTGCTCAGCATGTTCAAGCATCATCAAACCCTGGGTTTGATCTTTTGTGTCTTTAGTGATGCTCTTGTGGCTGCCTCAAAGTCCATATCTTCAAAATGTTCACCTTTCATGCTCGTTTTGACTTTGGGTAAGAGCCATATGTTGCAAAGTGCCAAACTCAGTGAATGAGGTGGATGAGCTTGCCTTTCCGTTTGACAGTACTTGGCAGCCATGTTCACTGTATTTTTGATTGCACCTCATAAAGACTGCTTCCGAAAGTCACAAAAACAAATGAAACAGGTGTGCTTGAAGCAAAGGGAAGGGGTCCTCTGCGGGGAATTAATGGTATGTCTTTTACTATAATAAATAAACATTTGCCATATACTTTAATCATATTCCATAAAGAGTATCAGCTGGCCCTGCATATCCATGCATCTGAGAATTCAACCAACTGTGGACTGAAAATATTTGAGAGAAAAATGTACTGGTACTATACATGTACCGACTTTTTTCCTTGTCATTATTATCTTGAACAACCTATACAGCATACACATTGTGTTAGGCATGCTGTTCTGTTGAGATGATTTAAAGCATACAGGACAATGTATATAAGCTATATGCAAACACTATGCTGCTTTATATATGGGATTTAAACATCTCTGGATTTTGGTGAAGGATATAACATTCATAAACACATGATTTGTAAACATACAAAAGATATAGCTAGTGCCTTTTCAAAATGTAACTGTTTCTGTTTTTCTAAACAGGCACTTTTAAGATTTGGAAAGTTTTGGGCTGGGGATTTAGCTCAGTGGCACAGTGCCTGCCTGGCAGGCGCAAGGTCGTGAGTTCAATTCCTGGTACTGGAGAAAAACCAAAAAAACCAAAAAAAAAAAAAAAAAAAAAGATTTGGAAAGTTTTTCCTTAAGTAAATATTCTACTTTATTTTTATCTGATTTTATACTATAATCTGGTCCCCAATCTATCCCATCATCCATCCTGTAAAAACAAAACTCTAAATTGTGCTTAAGGAAAGACTGCACATCTAAAAGAAAAATTATTCTGTCCAAAGCTTTACACTTCCAGCTAGTATAAATTTATTTATTACCTGAAATGAACACATCAAAGTTTCATCCACACTCATCATTCCACCAGCATTGTCAAATTCGCCACAGTAATTTGGTGCTGAAAATAGGGTTACCAATTGTCGTTTAGCAAAAAATTCATACCCATCTTCCACCACCTGTAGAAAGAAATGTTAAAAGTAAAAAATAGATAATTCTCAACCATCTATACTAATTGGAATTAATTAGTAATTGTAGCAAAGGTCTAAAAATTCCTCTTTGTCTAGGAAGCTGTAATTTTTATTCTTACATTGCTTAGAATATTAAAATTGATGTACGGTTCTGTAATAGCAGAAATGTAGTTAAATGGAATAATAAATTTGTTGTTATAAAAAAACCTTAAAAAGTACACCATTTTCAAGGTTCCCCATGAGACAAAAAGAACATATGCTAATAGGTACAGCAAGCACAAGGAGTTAGGATACCAAGTATTTCTTTGACAATAATAGTGTAATCCAACTGTGGAATTCTTAACTAAATGAACAACAATGAAAACTACACTTTGCAAAGAGCTTTTATTCTTGCTTTATATTTTTAAACTGTTAGTATATTAAAACACTGAAATACTGACAAACAATGAAAAAATTACTCAATTATACAGCTCCTATTTTTTTTTGAGGCTGGCAGGGGCTTAGTATGCAGTCTGGGCTGGCCTCAAACTCATGGCTATTTTCCTGCCTCAGCCTCCTGAGTGCTGGGATTACAGGTGTGCACCCTCAAGCCTGGCCAGATCATACTCTTTAAATTAGCTGTCAGACCAAATTTTTACATTATTCTTTTCCTTATGGAGTTATAATTAACAATTTCCAAAATTTGTGGTCACCTAAGTGATTTAAATAATTTATGTTTCTCAGCTCCACAGATGTGAGAGGCAGGTAATAATATGTAAGCATGACTATTTTTTGAAGCCTATTTTAGGTATCCTTTGGCAAGCAAAATTATACTGTTTGTGAATGAAACACAGCACCTCCAAAATCATTTATTTTTAAAATTAGTTTCTATCAGTATTGGGAACACTGACTCTTAAAATTTACCTCACAGTACAATTAGATAGTAACCTTTTCAGTCAAGACTGTGGTTGCTTTACCTACCCTCACCTGCAAAGTGTTTGGCTCTTAGAAATGTTTCTGTTTTGCTTATTGATTTTTTTCCAACTTTAAAAAAAAGAGTTTTTGAATTTTGTTTCCTATTATGTCTTAAATTTAGAGACAACATAATTAAACAGAGTAGTGTTTTGGAGATTTCTGGAAAAGACCATGGAAACTAAGGTAGCTCAATAATATACTTTTTAAAATAATCATTTGTATGTGAAAAGACCAGTGAATGAAGATCCTGGTTGAAAAAACCATGTGGGAACTTCAGTTAGGAAACTTAGCAACTCTGACCTGGTATCTAGCAGAAGACTTAATTATCAAATCATAAATATGAAGCTTACTGGTAAAGAAGCATGTGAGATATAAAATGCAGAGAAATAACTATTCACTTTGATCACTTAGGATCACACAGAGGTAAAATATGCTGGCCATACTGGCTCATGCCTGTAATCCCTGCAGGAGGACCACAAATTTAAGGTCAGTGTGCACAACTTAGTGAAAATTCTGCCTTAAATTTGAAAAACAAAACAAGGCAGAGGATGCAGCTGAGTAGTAGAGCACTTGCCAAGCTGCACAAGGCCCTGGCTTCAGACCTCAGTAACACACACGAGGCAGAAGTAGTCAAGGGTCATGGGGAGGGAGTAAAGTCTCAGAGAAAAGGTAATTACTGTGAACTTAAGTTAGTAAATTTTACTTTAACATAAAATAGCCAAGAATCTTAAATATGCTTATAAATTTCAAAAACACAGTAACCTCCAAAATGGTGATGTTTACAAATGTCTTGCAGCTGGGCATGGTGGCACACGCCTGTAATCCCAGCACTTGGGAGGCTGAGGCAGGAGGATCGTTGTGAGTTCAAGACCAGCCTGGGATACAAAGTGAGTTCAAGGCCAGCCTGAACTGCATACTGAGACTGTCTCCAAAAAAAAAAAAAAAAAGGGCAAAAGAAAAGTAAAAAAAGAAATGTCCTGCAATCAGTGTATCTTATACTGATTATTTTTGGCTTATGTTTTACAAAGCATGAGCACTTTATATATTGAGTATAATATTTGCAAAAAATGGACATCCTTCACACCTAACAATGATTTTGTCACAGCTGAAATAATTAATAATGACATCCTGATATAATACCTACAACTCAATAAAATTCCTCAACTATACTACAAATTTCTTACAGCATAGTTTGTTCTGATTAAAAAAAAAATCCACACATTATGGATGTGAAACACATAATAACACATAAACTATCTAGATCACGCCTAAAAACTTCAGCAAAACACTGACTTTAGAACATTGGTAGGCTTCTACCACACTATACTATAAAAATATATTCTGTTGAAATACTACATTGCATATGGCAAGAAAAGAGTAAGTCACTGATTACGAGTGCAAGGCCCAGGTTCCGGCTCGCCTCTCACTGCTTTCCTTGTACAAATCAGTTTTGCTTTCTAAGATCCCAGTTTCCTCAAAAATAATATGGGAGGGCTGTACGAAGTTAACAATAAAATATCCAAGAGTCTTATGTTTCATACCTGATGAGCTCGACAAATCAAATCTAAATCATGACGATTCAGAAATTTACTAACTACATCAGCTCCAAAAGTGAAGGAAACACCACGATCATTTTCTCCCCAACCTTGTACATCCTTATCTGGATCAGACCACAGCAAATCACAAAGCAAACCTGCAGGGTACATAAACAGAACAATCAAAAACAAAATAAAATGTACATAATAAAGTCTATCTATATCCCATTCTACTACTTCTGCCCTCTTACTCTTTAA